GAGAGGGAGAGAGAGAGAGAGAGAGAGAGAGAGAGAAGAAAAGAAGAGATACACGAATGGTAGGGGACTTAACGATAATATCCTTTAAAAGAGAAAAGTTTCAATCGGATCGTACTGGAAATAGATTTATCTGTGGACCAGTGAAATCCGTTTCAGCTTGGACAGGGAAATTTTACCCTCTTTTAGGCTTTAAGCTCCACCCCATAGAGGTACCAGCAGCGGTTAATGAGGGGCGGTTATTCTCTTTTTCCACGATTCCTTTATCACCCTTTCCACCCTTGCTTGCCTTCACGTTCTCCGCGAAGCCGAAAATTGGTCGAGCCGAAAGACGCGAATGAAGCGAAGGGAGGGGGATGAAAAAAGCAGGGGGGAGGAGCGGGGGCGCGAGAAGGGGTGAATATCGATATGCGGGCGAAGTAAAACAGAATCGAAATGAGGGGGGTTGCTTTTGAAGGATCAAAGCACGGCGGGAAAAAAATTCTTTTTTTTTTTTTTTTTTTTGAATTTTTTCCTCGCCGTCCAACGAATTCATCTGAAAGCCTGTTTTCACCCAGTTATTGCTCGTTAAATCGTAGTGCTCGTCCCTCGAAAGATCGATCGAGAAGGCCAAGAACTCGGGGGAATGATCTTTCGATTCTTCAAAGAGGAGAGATTTAGAGCTCCTTTATTGCGATATATTGTGACTATTGTCGGTGAAGAGAGTTATTTTTTTTTTTTTTTTTTTTTTAAGCGTAAAGCGAAATTTAAAGTTCTTGCGAAAAGAAGATTCGAAAGATTTTCAATGGAATATAAAGAGTCGAAACGCGGAACGAAAGAGTATAAGAGATTATTATTAGAGTTCGATAACGTGAACTTGATTTCCTTGATTGATCTTTTTCCAATTTAAAAAACACTTTCGAGATTGTATTTTTTTTTTTTTAAATTTTAAAGAATTTATTTTCTTACAACAAGAAATTAATATACAGACGTTCAAAAATTATAATAATACTGATATATGCTCGGCAGCACGATACTCGGTCGTCGACAGAGGTTGAAGAACAAATGGAAATAAAGACACTTCGATTCCTTTCTGTTTCCGATACACGAGGCAGTCGGTCTTTTAAAGGGCGTCTCTCTGTTAAACGAGCTATAGATTGACACGTTGTTGATTACGGCTTATACCGTGGCAGCTATTGAATAATTATTTACGTCTCTGGAGAGACAGCGGGTTTCGCGATACTGCTTTGATACGGAGAAACTAATTATTAATTATATCGATCGTGTATGACGCGCAGCTCGTTAGTATACGGATAGGTTGCATTACTTCCTGATACGCGATCGTATAGATCGCATAGAGGAGATTAATTAACGATCGTCGATGAGTGTTGATGCTTGCGGATTTTTCTGCGTCCACTATTCTCTCGATGCATCCTGTCGAGAACGAACGTGTTAATGATGTTCGAACGTGTCGCATTACCTCTTCTCTTCTTGTAGCAAGTGACCAATAGTGAAATCCTGACGTTTCAAATAATGGTGAAAATTTCGCCATTATTTGAATAAATTTTTGGTTCTTGATTGCATTATACAGATATATATGATAACGTCGAAATAATGGGTTAGAATTGGATGGGTTGGAAATTCTTTATATTCGTGTATTTTTATTACATCTTCTTAATCTTTGATGCAACGTGACTCGACACGTGCATCGAAAGCATATTGATATCGCATACGTCATCACTATGCGAATTTTGATGTAGATACCGAGTTACCGAGTCTCTTTGTGCTTTCGATCTTGCCACGTATATCGCATATTAATCTTACCGTTAATATTAATGCGGAATGCATTTGAAATAGATGAAAGCGACCGGTGATAAGCGTAATACATCTCACAATACCAGGACGTGTTCTAACAAAACTTTATTTATCGAAACACGATAAAAATTTCCCCGATTCGTCGAATCAAAAAATTCTTTCTTAAACGACTTCAACAAATCAACTTCGTCCCATTTTTTCCTCAATTTCAAAATCGTCCTCTACCGATTTTTTTACCGGAAACACCTCCTGTCTCCCTCCTCTTCTTTCGAAACCCAGCCCCCAAGAAATTTGAAGAGACAGAGAGAGAGAAAGGGTTGTTTCCATATCGCGGAGGAGTGGCCGTTATACTAATTTGGCGGGCGCTCGTTAACGACTCCTTTGAGGTCATAACTTGCGCCGCAAGTCGGTTCCCGCCCCGTGTGTGTGTGCGTGTGTCTGCTGCGCTTTCTCTCTCTTCTCTCGCCCCACCAAACGTCCGCCTTGGCCGCTGCTCACAGTCAGTCCGCTTCTTGAAAGGCATCGCGACGCTCGCGAACGACGGGGACGACGAGTGGCGCGTAACCACGGTTGGGCTGGTGGTGGCGCGCATGCGCGGCCGATCGCCGCGCGGCCTGTCGTGTGGCGGCCAGGCGGCCAATGGTGGGGGTGAGAAACGTGCTCGTCACCCTCGAGGAGCGCCGCGAGAGAGATTCAGTAAGCGCCGCGAGCCCGCCGTGGCCGGAAGTGGTCTCGTCGCGTTCCTCCCAACCTTTCCCCTTCCCGTGGCGATATTTTCTACGAGTGCTTTCGTTCGCTTGAGATCCCTTTCCGCCTTCTGCCTTCGTTGGAATCCCGTATCGTGTACGGGAGGAGTTTCGAGAATAATCGATCGAGCAAACCCGGTCGGAAGAAACTTTCGGTTCGCGCGATTGATATTACGGGCGTTGAGCGAGTTCAACGAGAGGATCGTTGAAACTCGATCGTTGTTCGATTGTTGGTGATGCAAGAGGATGAAACTGGTGGATGGTGTTTAAGGGGGCGGGCGAGGCGGACGACGGGCATTGTTCGTTAAAATTTGCAGGATTTCGGTTGCGGTAATTACGTTGAAACGTCGGGATCACCGTGTCTCGAGAGGGGATTCGTCCCTGGCTTCTTAAGGGAAGCTCGCAAAGGATCGCGGGACAGCTTCTGGCTAGCTGACGTCATCAGGAACAAACAACCAGATCGAAGATCCGCGTGGCAAGGGAGAGATATTATATCTCTGAGGGTTGGGGCTGTCTGGAAGTCCGCAAGTTGTGCAAGAGGGAAAATCAGAAAAGGGATACGATCGATCTTGGGGGAGAAAGACGAAAACACGGATCTCAACGGGGGGGTATTCGAATCGCTGTCGAATCTGTCGGCCCGAGTCTACTCTCGGGCAACTGTGATCCTATGTCTCGTCTGTCGTTCGATCTTTATTGATCGCTCTTCGATCGTTGACATCGTTCGCTTTTAGGAAAGTAACGCGTACAAGCATTACGGACCTCTTACGGAGAGATCGTTCTCGGGCAAGATGAGAACAAATGGCAGGATCGCGATGAACGTCCGGCTGTCCCTGGCCGACTGATCGTCAAAGACAAATCGAGAACGGGCAAGGGGAGGCTTTTTGCATCAGGGGGATTGAAAAACGATGTACGAGAGGAGCAAGTGAGAATTCCTTTTCGCGTGTTCCCCCCCCTTTTTTTCGGTGATCTCTATCAGAGAAGATGTGCCTGCGACACTTGCTACTCTGCCTGCTGGGTGTCATCGTTATCGTCAACGGTGAGTCTTTGATTTATCCTTTCGTAGTTCGAGTTCTCGCGTCCTCCTCGAGTTCGAGTAAAAATCCGTGATCGGAACAGAAGAACGGAAAATGTAGTATTCGAAATCGAGTGGTACGATTGGAAGTGTAATGAAAGAAAATTATCGAATGAAATTTTTCCAAGTCCGATTTTAAGGAAATCGGAGTTTCAACGAAGCTATCGTATATAAATGTATTATTTCATATTTCACACGTTTTATTACCACGTTCGATCCCATCACGTACGCATACCGTACGATAATAATAGATGATACGTCCATTCTTATCCATAAGTCATCGTGCTCTCTCAATCTCGATTTAGAACAATGACAAATTAATGCTTCACGAGATAAAATTGCTAATTCAAACGATAATAGAATTACAAAGTCTTTTTTTAGAACGATATGAATATTTCATTTTTTAATTAACAAACGATTGATTGAAGTAACGAAGGATGAAAAACGTAATTCTTCTCGAGCAAAGTATCGTTCCAAATTTTCTTCGTTTATGAGATAAAAGTGTTTCGTACAAAAATTCGACGATATGACGATTTTCGAAACTCGGTTCGAATTGTGGAACAATATCACGCGAATTTATAATATTCGAGCGGAATTTTATCCGTTTATCTGTTTTCATCCATGCGGAAGGAATACGAATCCGCCATATACATTACGATTTTGAACTTCGTCGAGGTGGGGGATCGAGCAGGGATTGTTTTTATATACCGTATGACGAAGGAACGCGAGCTCGAAAGTGTCGTAAAAGCAGGGAGGCAAGTTTGCACCCAGCCACCATTTAACCAAAACTTTTCGCCAACTATTTTTTTCCCTTCCTCCCCGCTTTGCTCTAAATTAGTTAATAAAGTCGGGGGAAAAAGGGTATAGCCCGCTTAATCTGACTTTAAAGAGAGGAGAGGAATAGGGTTAATCCTGTCGACTCTCAAGGACATCGGAACTTTGCGCAATTTACGTTCCTGTATAAGTTAGAAAAAAATTTTAATCCATTTCCAATCCGTTTAAATTAATTCGATTTTCAAGCTATACGCCCTAGCTTATTTTTATAATTTTTGTGATACAACGTAAGAAATTTATTCTCCATTCCCGTTCAATCGAGCAAACTGTAAGACGAAACACAAATTACGAGAGAAAGATTGCAATTTCCCTCATTTCCAAATCAATTATCAGATATCTCGCTTCCGTTAGTTCCGTGAGACTAACTAACTTCAACTCTATATTTCTACTTTCGTTCCAATCTTTCAAAATTTATCTTCCACTTTCAAGTAAACAATTATTTTTCGAACCTTCGATTTTCCGGTCTAAACGAATCATCCCGCGAATAAAGAAGAAAAAAAGAGGGAAAAGACAAACTTGGGACAAACCGTATATTTATTTATTTTCAACCAGAGTTTGGAGAGCACGAATCCATAAACCATGGTCCGCCTGCGAAAAAGAGACGGGGAGAGGATCCTTTAATCCTCGAAGGAACGAGCCTAAGTAGTAAGAGGGCAGGGCGGGGGAGGGGAGAGAGGTTAAGGGAGCGTCACGGGAGAGTTAAGTGAAGCTAGATTACGGACGTTAAGTCGTCGAGTGGACGTTAAAGCAGCCGTGTGCCCGTTCCAAAGAGATTTTTCGGGGGTTTTGCCGGTTCATAGTTGGAAGGAGGAGGAGGAGGAGGAGGAGAGGAAAAAAAAAAAATAATAAATAGAACGGTGGAATACAGCCGCGGGTCGTTTAACGCGTGTCGTTTTTTGTACACGTGTTGGCAGATTTTACGTGGCGTGCCGACTCGAAGCGAGGGGAGAGGGGGGGAGAGAAAAAGAGGGGAGCAGATGAGATGGGCGAAGAAAAGAAGGATTGTAAAAAGGGAGGCCAACGCGCGAATTAACAGAGCTTTCGTTCGAGGGAAATAGAAAAAAAAAAAAAAGGTGTATGCATGGATGGACGGTGGAAAAAAAAAAAGGTGTCTAGGAAGGTGAAAGTGAAAATCAAAACGGGTTGTTTCAGAATTTTTTTTTTTTTCTTCATCTCTCTCTCTTCCTTTTTATACTCTTCCACTCCCTTTCAACTCTCTGGTGCGGTATCTTCGTCAAGAGGGAAACGGTCGATGTCGATTCGCTTTGGAACGAATTTGGAAATAGCGAGAGCATTTTTTCAAAAGTTCGTTTCTCCACCTGTTTCTCTCCTCCTCTGGTGTGCCTAACAACTAATCTACGCTCGTTAATTTTTCTGTTTCTTTCTTTTTTTTCTCTCGCTTCCACCACTTTCCACCATTTTCCACGAATTCGAGAATGCGCGGAAGATCCATTTTAAACCGAATCCCCTTTCCTAGGCAAATTGAGAAAACGAGAAATCGACGCTGTTTACGTTCAATTATTTAACGCGATCTTGCAATAAACAAGATTACTCGGTTTAATGAAATATGTACCCGGATTCGAGCCGTTTAATTTCATCCGCCCGTTGGTCTCGATTCACCCTTTGTTTCTCTCTCTCTCTCTCTCTCTCTCTCTCTCTCTCTCTTCTTCTCGTCTTCTTT